AAACCATACCTTCAAACTGAATTAACTCATTGTAATCCCAAATAATTAACACGACCTCACTCCCAAAAGTCATAGATACGATTCTGGTTTGGCCAGACGCACGACTGACTGTGGCCTATCACTACCGGAACGATGGATGTGATGTCGCAGTGGCAGTGTGTGAACTGATTGACTCGGCTTTTTGGGTTATGTCAAGTGTTAAGTGACGTATGAGAACAACTGAAAGAGTAAAACTTCTTGAACACTGATATTTTGTGCTGCCGCGGGGACTTAACTCAGTAGAAAATGTGTGAACTCACTGTGAAAGAGCACGAAAATCAAGCTCATTTCAATACGAAAGTTAAGAAATCAATGGCTTGAATTTGTTTCAAACCCATTCTAAAAAATGTTTCAAGCCCGGTGGTTCAATAATTACTCGAGAATACTGTTTGGAGGGATAGGTATCGTGACCTGCATAAACTTAAGATATTTTTGATGAAAGTCAGAGATAGTCGGCGGTCATCGCGAGCAATAATTAGAGGCTACCCACGGCAGCAGTCTAGAGAGAGGGCGAGTGCACATACGTAAACCCTTACTGGGCGCTTATCGCTATACAGAGTATTATTCCAGTCACGCACCATCCCACACCATTTGCAGCAATACTTGATCCAAAGGATTAAATAAAAGGATAAAGCATTTGCCGTTGATCAATCCCGTTTTGGGATGCGGCACGCATTCTACTTCCATTTGTACATTCGTAGTGGCGTTTGAATGCGATGTGGCCTATACAATGACTTGCGGGGGCCAGCCGATGTTCAAGTCAGTGTTTTTTTTTATCCCCAGACAAGTCTGGTACCAATTAACCGACCCCGGAGGGATGGAAGGCTTGGTTGGCCCGGGCGACTCACGACCCAGGATTTGATCCCCGGATCGCTCGCATGGTGAGCGTGCCACTTGCCACTACACCACTTCCGCCCTATACTACTTGATTTACTTGATCCTACCAGGACCAATTGCCCTTGATCCAGTTTTAGCCCAAGTTGGTCAGTTCTTAAGGCTTTTTCGTTTTTCAATGTGTTCTAATTGTCTCACTTAGATCGATTGTTGATGTAAAATTAGCATGTTTGTATTTGTAGACCTGAAGAAGGCTCAAAGGCCCGAAACGTCAATTCAAAGCTGTTCGGAGAGTTTCATTTGAACAAAAAACGAAAAGAAAGCGTCAAACAATGAGCCTCAGGAACCCTATGATCTATCAAAGAGCTTGTTGAAATGAATATCTAGAATGTTGAAATGAGATAGTTACAAAATGTTCAGAAAACTCTCCAATTAAATGCACGGAAGCTCGCAGAATTCACTAAGCTGATTATCAGAGTACTCATCTTTCCAATATAGCCCCCCACACTCGAAAGAGAAACTGAATCACTTCGAAAGAAGAATTCAATTTTTTGCGATCTCACTGGCCGTCGGCTTCAAAGCTGATAAAGGCATACAGGAATACTTGGTTTTCCGCCTGTCTTTCGGACCGAAACACCTTCGCTGGTGGATGCTGGTGGAAATGATTGCTGTGCTACATGTGTTTAGCAGACCTGCATTAGCCGGCTACCATCAGCCTTGTTGACCAACTAGATGGTGAAATTTGAAGAGGACAAGTACACCCTAATTAGACAGAGATAGCCGAGTGGTTAAGAGGTTAGACTCATGTCTGCACCTCTGAAAAACCGCGAGTTCGATCCCTGCCGAGGCTCTAAACCATGCCTTGCAAAAATTGCAAAAATGGTTCTAGTACCAGCGTCAGGCCCAGGTTGACAGGCCGGCTGATGAAGACCCCGTCACAACAAGCCAACACGTCACCCGGAAGTGGCTCGCAGAACCCTCGCCCGAATTCTGTGGTCAGTATGCGAGGGCTACCGAGGAGTGAACGGCCTCGGCCAAAGAAGCTAGTTCGAATTGGGACTCTGAACGTAGGATCGCTAACTGGGAAGTCCCGAGAGGTTGCTGATCTGATGACGCGCAGGAATATCCAAGTCCTATGCCTTCAGGAGACGCGATGGAAAGGTGCTAAGGCCAGGGAAATCGGGGAAGGTGTCAAACTCTACTACAATGGAGAAGACACCAAGCGGAACGGTGTGGCCATAGCGGTAGCGGAGTCGCTCAAGGACTATGTCTCCGCTGTGAACAGGATCAGCGATCGGATCATGGCTGTGAGGATAGACACGAAGGAGGGGTACTGGACCAATACTCTCCGTGTACGCACCGCAGACCGGATGCCCCGAGAGTGAGAAGGACGAGTTCTATCTAAGCCTTGACGAAGCCATCAGATCGATTCCGGAAGGCGATTACCTGACCATAGCAGGTGATCTGAATGGTCACGTCGGCAGTGACAGAAGAGGCCTGGAAAGGGTGCACGGAGGTAGAGATAGGAACGAGGAACGCGAGGGAGAGAGGGTCCTGGACCTGGCTACAGCCCACGATCTGGCAATCTGCAGCACGTTCTTCGCGAAAAGGGAGACTCAGAAGGTAACCTACAGCAGTGGAGGGAGACAGACGGAAATCGACCATGTGCTGGTAAGAAGATCCCTCAAAACTGTGAAGGATATCAAGGTACTCCCTGGCGAAGATTGGCTCCCAGCACAGGCCCCTCCTGGCAGACATTGCCATATACCTCCCCAAGAAGACAATGATGAGGTACATAACGACTGGGGTGCATCAAGGATCAGCTCTGAGCCCGTTCCTCTTCCTCCTAACACTAGATGTCATGGTGAAGGGCTCATGGAAGGACCACTAAAGACCATCCTCTACGCTGACGACATCGCCCTGATAGCGGATAGCAGAGAAGAACTACAGGCCAAGGTGCAGAAATGGCAGAAGTCCTGGCAGAAGGTGGGCTCCGGCTGAATGTCAAGAAGACCAAGTTCCTGAGTTCTGAAGAGGGGAGACATGGAGAAACATCGAAAGGTTCAAGGACTTTCCGATACCTTGGGAGCCATCTGGCCGCCGACGGCAATGTGGACAGACAGACAGAAGGGAGTCCACCGGAATTCTCTGCAAACGAAAGTGCTCCAGAACGCTCAAAGGGAAAGTGTACCGGACATTGTCAAGACTGCGATGCTCTACGAGCAGTGAGTGCTAGCCCCTGAACAAGAACCAGGAGAGCAGCTTCACTCTGGCGAATGAGGATGGAATGGGCTGTGGTTAGACGCTACTGGAAAGGGTCAGGAACGAGGAGGTCAGAGCGGTCATGCAGACTGCCCCTGTCCAGCTGAAGGATACGGGAACAGCGTCTGCGATGGTATGGGCACGTGCTAAGGAGGCCACAGGACCACCCAATAAGGAAAGCAATGGACTTCGAAGCGCAAGGCAAGCGACCGCGAGGTGCCCCAAAGAAGAGGTGGAAGGACGTAATCAAAGAAGGACCTAAGTGAAATCACGGCCACAGCAGAAGATGCCCTAGACAGAGCGAAGTGGCGACGACTGATAAAGACAGCGGACCCTGCGACTGCGCGGGACTAACGCTAGGGAGAAGAAGAAGAAAAAGAGAGACGTGTACGAGGGCTCTTGACGGAGTGCGCTCACCCAAGCTTCAGGAGATTTCGCAGTCTAGGACCTCTATCCTGCGCATGTGTGGCCGCAACGAAGATTTTGTAGGCGAGCTTTCGTAAGAGGCCGTTCGTTCATGTAATGGGGTGTCGGACGGGCTGGCTCTCCATGAAAATAGTCAAATAAGATCGAAGCGCTGGTAGTGAAACACGCTGTAGCGATGAACGACATGCCTGTTAAAGCTATTTCAGATAGTGTCGGTCGTCGACACGAAATAATTTTGGACATAACATAACATAATTTTGGAGACATTTGTGCTAGACAGTGACTCGGAATATGGATTTACTAGTGGCCGAGGTTTTTTGGATTCTCCTTGGGTAACTACTGACTGCACACTTAGATCCCGTTGACTAAAGCGCTCGAGAAAATGCTCTACCTTGTGCTTGGTCATTGCATGTTACTGCTATAAATGTTTGCAGAAAAAAACGAAAAATTTATAAAGAGTGGTTCGGCGAAACTTTGCTACACCTGAGCATAACTTCGTATAGCATACATTAAAAACTGTCATACCTGCTACTGAAGCCTTGACTACGGTAGTCCTTTCAGTAACACCTGGTTCACTAGAGGTGTTGGGTTCCATGGTGATGATACGTACTAGATAGTAATGGTAAAGTAGTTGTAGCTGAATCAGAGCTGCTGGTTACATCCAGTGTAGTAGTACGGTTGCAGAACTACGAGCGCTGTGTCGATAGTTGGACGCGCTTTTATTAGATGTTAGGATTGGGTAGGTGCAGATTGAATATACTAGTGATTGTGGTTTTGTTAGTGAAATGTGTTGAAGAGCTAGACGAAAAGATGGAACTGGTGAATGGTGTCGCTGTTGATTCAGGAAGGGCTGTAAGCTGACGACAAGATGTCAGAAGTTGTCTTCTCAGTGAATGCGGTTGACGTTGATGAACGAGCGAATGTTGAGGCACTTGCTGTCGTCTTGAGGGCGGAAGTTGTTCTTGTTCCTGTCGTAGTTGAAGTTATAATTCCAGTCGTCGTTGTGCTATCAACGGAGGATGTGGTTGCTTCAGTAATCTCTACAGTCGTCATGAGGGTCAGTAGGGCTTTTGGTTGGAAGGGCAGATGAACCGGCGGTTGTTGTACCTTCAGTGAGTTTTTTCGTTGATGTTATTGTTAAAGTGGTTCCCGCAATGTCAGTGACGGATTTGGTTGTTCTGTTGTCTGTCTTTTTTGCGTCCTCAGTAGTTGGAAAGGTGGGGTGTTGTAGACCGTGCGGGTCTATCAGTGGACGGATGGGCCATCTTATCAGAAGGGGGTGTGCTTCTCAGAGTGAAGGCGGGTTGACGTTGATGAACGAGCGAATGTTGAGGCACTTGCTGTCGTCTTGAGGGCGGAAGTTGTTCCTTGTTCCTGTCGTAGTTGAAGTTATAATTCCAGTCGTCGTTGTGCTATCAACGGAGGATGTGGTTGCTTCAGTAATCTCTACAGTCGTCAGTAGGATCAGTAGGGCTTTTGGTTGAAGAGCAGATGACCCGCGGTTGTTGTACCTTCGTGAGTTTGTCGGTTAAATGATATGAGGTGGTTCCCGTAGTGTCAGTGACGGATTTGGTTGTCCTGTTGTCTGTCTTTTTTGCGTCCTCAGTGGTTGGAAAGGTGGTTGTTGCAGCCGTGCTGGTTCTATCAGTGACGGAGGTGATCTTACTTGTGCCGTCTGTTATTGAAACGTTAGCGTCAGGCGTTGTTATTGATTCACCAGTACTAGTCGCTGTTGTGCGGTCCGGGGAAGGTTGGACTGTTGTTGTATCTACGCTTGTAACTTTCGTGATTTCTGTGGGTGTTTTGCTTACTGTTTCGGTAGCAGTAGTGGAAATGCTTCGAGGTTTCAGTAGGGGTTTTGGTCGTTGTTCTCACTGTGGTGGTTGTCCTTGCAGTCTCTGTTGAAGAAGTGGTTGGTGTTTCTGTAGTGCCGGTTTTTTCGGCATGACTGGTGAAAACCTTTGTTGCAGTGCTCTTAGTTTCTTTAGTGTCTGAAGAAGGAGTGGTCTTTATTGCTGCAGTGCTGGCAGTCGTTGTAATTCCGAGAGTGGAAACCGTCGTTGTGATGCTGTCTGTTGTTGTTTCAGTAGGAGGCTGGACTTGTAGAAATGCTTGTAATCTCTGCCGGTTTCACTTGAAGATTTGGTCGTAGTTTCTACAGTAGTGACTGTCTTTGTGGCATCCGTAGCGGAAGTTCTAGCTGTCATGGAAGTGATGATGTCACTGGTATCAGTAGTGGAAGCGGTTTTCAGATCGGGTGTGAAGGTGGTTATATTAACATCGGTGGTGAGTGTTGTTTTCGCCCTGGTAGTACCTGGAGCGGCAGTTGAACTAGGTGTTGTGTGAACACCAAAAGTAGTTTCAGCGCTACTGGTAGTTTCAGTGGTTTTGATTGTTGTCGTGTGAGATGTCCTCTCAGGTGATGTGGAAACATGGCTTTTGTACACTGTGGGCGTGGTCGTTTTTTCAGTAGTTGTGGTTTCACGAGATGTTGCCGCGGAAGATACTGAGTGGAACTGTTCCGATGTCGATGAAATGACACCAGATGTACTGGCTGAATCAGATGTCGTCGTGGAAACCGGATAGGTAATCTTATCGGTCGTTCTCAATGTCGTAGATTTGGTTGTTGTCATTGGGGGCGTAGATGTTGTTGGCGTTGTTGCCTTCGCTGCCGTTGTTGTGCTAGCCGTTGTTGTGGATGTTGTTGTTGAAGTCGTGGTTGTTGTTGGCGTTGTTGCCTTCGTTGTTGTTGTTGTGCTAGTTGTTGTTGTTGTTGTTGTTGTTGAAGTTCGTGGTTGTTGTTGGCGTTGTTGCCTTGTTGTTGTTGTTGTTGTGCTAGCTGTTGTTGTTGATTTTGTTGTCACTGCGGTGCTTGCTGTTGGCGTTGTTGTCTTCATTGTTGTTGTTGTGCTAGGCGTTGTTGTTGCCTTCGTTGTCGTTGTTGTGCTAGTTGTTGTTTTGTTGTTGTTGTTGGAGTCGTGGTTGTTGTTGGCGTTGTTGCCTTGCTAGCCGTTGTTGTGGTTGTTGTTGTTGAAGTTCGTGGTTGTTGTTGGCGTTGTTGCCTTCGTTGCCGTTGTTGTGCTAGCCGTTGTTGTGGTTGTTGTTGTTGAAGTCGTGGTTGTTGTTGGCGTTGTTGCCTTCGTTGGTGTTGTTGTGCTAGCTGTTGCTGTTGATTTTGCTGTTGTCGCGGTGCTTGCTGTTGTTGTCTCCGTTGTCGTTGTTGTCTCCGTTGTCGTTGTTGTTGTGCTACGTGTTGTGACGTGATCTGAAGTGGAGGGGATTGCAGAAGAAGTAGTAGTTGAAGACGCTGTTGTTGTTGGTGTAACAGTGCAAACCGTGCATTGCTGGTATACAATCTTACTAGTCGTTGTTGCCAATTTCGTTGTTGTTGGTGTTGTTGTTGTCGTCGTAATTGTTGTTGTTGTTGTTGTTGTTGTTGTTGTTGTTGTTGGTTGTTGTTGTTGTTGTTGTTGTTGTTGTTGTTGTTGTTGTTGTTGTTGTTGTTGTTGTTGTTGTTGTTGTTGTTGTTGTTGTTGTTGTTGTTGTTGTTGTTGTTGTTGTTGTTGTTGTTGTTGTTGTTGTTGTTGTTGTTGTTGTTGTTGTTGTTGTTGTTGTTGTTGTTGA